ACGGTTTCAGTCCGAGAAGGAATCTGCAGTCTACTTAATGCTAGGCAGAACGAGTATAAGGAACTCAAAAATGCTCTCACAGCAGTCTACACCCGATACGCAACAATTTATGAACTTTGCTACTTTTGGCAAAGTGGTTCCGGATGCATTATGGTTCCCCACCTCACCTGTATAAATGCTTGGCCCGTTCATCTGTATCCATGCAGCTCTGGTTTTTATTTTGTTACTTTCATTTTCAAAGTTGAACCTTTGTGCTATTTTCGCTTTGTTAAGTCTCGTAATCTTGCATGTTTTTAACAAAGCTTTGTACTTTGCTTTATTTTATTGTCTTTAATCGCTTTTAGCCATGATTAACTCTCATATCTTTATGGATTTAGAGGTTAATCTCATGACGTGTGAGTAGCTTCCTTAGGCTCTTGGATGGGTGATATAAGATTGGAATCACACCAAATCTTATTGGTCATCAGATGTCAAAGTTTAGAAACTTGTGGCGGAAGATGACCGTTGCTAGAGATAGAATGGTGGAACTTGTGATTGACTCACTCAATTGGTGGGTTGACTGACTCACTCAGCCGTTGAAACTAGACTTGTCTGAATCACACAAACAATTCTATTCTAAGAATCAATAGAAATAAATGAATCCCCCAAATGAATCTAAAGACAAGAATAAACAAAGCCTAAGTTTTTAGAGAAAATTTCTCTTTCATTTTCCAAAAATTTCTATATCTTTTTACAATGAGAACAATGAGCATTTATAGCTCTTACAAAATATCTTTACTAATAAATACATTTGAATGAGATTATTTACAATCAAACAAAAAGAGAAAAATAAGTTAAATCAAATAATGATCTTCTTGCCACCAATCTTGCTTTGGACTTGAATGAGTATCCTTTGACTTTATAAATTATGAAATACATATTCTAATAATAATTCACATATTGAAGACCTTTGATTTACTGATTTTTGATATTGTATCATTCTCTCCCTCTTCAAATGGTTTTGTCCTCAAAACTCTTTTTTCTCTTTTTCTTTTTAGCAAATTTTATTTAGAAAATAAATAAAACTTTTTTCATTTAAAAAAAATAAAAAAACATAAATAGAAACAGATTTTTTTAATGAAAGAAACAAACTTCAATTTTAAGGGAAAAAACACTGATTTGTTTTTGGATTTTATGTTTTTATTAAAAAAAAAATCATGAATCAAAGAACAAAAACATACAGCTACTTTTTTTTGCTTTTTTTTTAAGTTTATAAAAATTTAAAGAATAAAAACAAACAATTTTTTTTTTCTTTTAATGGAAATCTTGATAAAACATGAAACAAAAACAAAATATAAAAGATAAAGGATAGGACCTTTTAGCTCTGATACCAGATGATATAAGATTGGAATCACACCAAATCTTATTGGTCACAAGATGTCAAAGTTTACAGCTTGTGGTGGAAGATGACCGTTGGTAGAGATGGAATGGTGGAACTTGTGATTGACACACTCAATCGGTGGGTTGACTGACTCACTCAACCGTTAAAACTAGACTTGTCTGAATCACACAAACAATTCTATTCCAAGAATCAATAGAAACAAATGAATTCCTCAAATAAATCTAAAGACAAGAATAAACAAAGCCTAAGCTTTTAGAGAAAATTTCTCTTTCATTTTCCAAAATTTTTTATATCTTTTTACAATGAGAACAATGAGCTTTTATAGCTCTTACAAAAGATCTTTACAAATAATTACACTTAAATGAAATTATTTACATTTAAACAAAAAAGAGAAAAATAAGCTAAATCAAATAATGGTCTTCTTGCCACCAATATTGCTTTGGGCTTGAATGAGAATTTTTTTGACTTTATAAATTATAAATTACAGATTCTAATATAATTCACATATTGAAGACCCTTAATTTACTGATTTTTGATATTGTATCAATGGGTTAAGAGGAATGGGACTCTCGGATGCATTTATTTTGTTAGCTTAGTGTTAAATACTTAATCTTTCTTTACTTGCTTTGATTATTTCTTATTTTAGATTGATCACCTAGTCTGAATTCCTTAGGTGCCTATAGCAAATACCATGTTTGAGATTAGCTGGAACCGCTTGCAATGGTTACACTTTTTCTAGCCTAAGACATTAGTTTTCTATGAGGTGTTTCGGTTCAATAGGATTGGTTTCTAGTCTTGCTTGTTTTTCTATCTTATCACTATGCAAGAGCTATACTTGGTATTGTGGCTAACAAATGTAGTAGACCCAAACACGATGGGCTAATCTACTTGTTGAAACCTTTACCTATGGATTACCATCTAAGACCAAGTCTTGATGTTAATAAATGGCTTTCCTTTGTGATCTGAGAGTCCCCAACTCAATATCCCATCCAAAGGCCTTCCCTTTATTTATCAAGTTTCGGTCTTTAAGCGTTTAGTATTGTTTTTGCTAGTTCTTGATTTTTATCATTAGTTAATCTTGTTATTTGTTTTTAGTGACACAAAGTTTGAATCTTGTTAGGTTGATAGATTAACAAAACCAATCTTGATATTCACTTGACTTAATCAAATCATTACAACTGTATTGTTATCAAACACTCTCCTTATGGATTGACAAAACCCATCCCTATACTACATACATATATAGTAGGAGCTTGGGTCATTGATCCAAGTAGAGAGTAAAATCCTACTTATCAGGTTCCCAGTCACTTCACCGAGGGTATGCCTTCAAAGGTAAGGTAATCCTCCTTCTCCACTATACCCTCAATAAGAGAGAGTTCAAACCCTCTCCCGTATCAATTTATGGCCTTCCGAGGTACCACTAAAAATCAGATGAACATCATGATCTACTAATATGATAGTCCACCTCGTAACCCAACTAAAACCTACCCTTCTGAATACATATTTTCGATAAAGTGTTTCTAATTTGAGCGTCAGAAAACCTTTGGAGGAAAAATCCCTTTCAATCCTCTTGAAGGCTTTCTCACCATTTGCTAAGTGATCATTACGACTGAATACCCATGTGCTACTCATCCTAGCGAAACCATGAGATAAAGTTCATATGCGTGAAGAACATACTCCCATTTGCATTCCACAAAGTGCTCCCAAACAAATACCTTCTAATATTTTAATAGGAGGCTCTAGTATTTTCATAGTTCTTAAGTTTGTTAGGGAAACAAAAGAGATGAACATATTAGTTTACATAATTTTAATGTAATTGAATTATTTTTCTAAGTGCCTTGGTATTAAGGATTAGTTTCCTAATTCGTTTTTTCATAAGTTTCTCTATTCAAAACTTTAAATTTGAAAGTTTATATATATTTTTTTTTATTTCAAGCTTTATAATTATATATTACACAAATAAAGAATTTTATTATATAAAGTTGGATACATCAAAGTTAGTAATTCATATGATTGTGACATATGGCGAATCATTAGATTCAAATTTTGACACATATCGTGATTAAATTAAAAATAAATATAAACTTACAAAATATTACTATTATATATATATAACCACTACAATATCTAAAAGAAAACTTGTTTTTTAAATAATAATAATAATATATTTTAATTACAAAAAGGAAACTTTGTTTTCAAAAAATGTAAAAACCTATCCTAAAAGAAAAAGAAAAATATTATTCACATTTTATAAACATATAAAATCTCTAATAATTTTACTAAGCTGATTTTTCTCTTAAACTCAAATCAACCGGATAAGATGAGAAACTGATGAATCAATGAAAAACATGAGGAAGCAAAATGAAGGAGAAAGCTAAATTTCCTTAGAAATGTGTAGTAAATTTTATATCTTAATAATTCACATGATCGTGACACATGTCAAGTTTTTTTATTAAGATTTTGATATTTGTCGCGATTAAATTAAAAATAAAATATCAATACAAGAAATCAGCAAGTATCATAATTATTAAAAAAATAAGAAAATATAACTACTACAATATCTAAGAAAGGAATATATTAAAAATAAATAAAATATATATATTTCAACTAAAAAGAAAAAACAGTTAAAAAACAAAAAAAAAGTAAAGACTAATCTTAAAAGAAAAAGAAAATTATTACTCACGTCTTTATAAATACAACCTTTATAATTTGTATAGGTTGGTTCTTCTCTTAAACTCGAATCAACTGGATATGATGAAAAACTAATGAAGCGATGAAAAACAATCAGAATTGCGGAAGCAAAATGAAGGAGAAAGCCAATATTGCTCTGATACCATCTTACCAAATGAGAATCTCAATGAGAGTTTGTTGGAGAAAATTCATATTTGTGAAAAATATAAAAGTAAATAAGGAATGAAAGAGAAAGCCAGTTTCTTTAATCAGTTTTATTATAAGTGGTTTTGCGAAAATGTTCTTAATCTTTTTTTTTTATGTTCACATTGATCTAATTTTGTTTTATACTTTTTCATGTTCATTCATATTTGTGAAAAAATATAAAAGTAAATATGGAATGAAGGAGAAAGCCAGTTTATTTAATCAGTTCTATTATAAGTGATTTTGCGAAAATATTCTCAATCCTAATTTTTAATGTTCACAATGATCTATTTTCTATTTTTTATTTTTTTATATTCAGTTTATTTTTAACGGGTTATGTCATAGTTAATATAAATTAGTATCTTTAGATATCACAATCTAATTTAAAATATATAAGAAATATTTAAATAAATTAGTGTAATTACATGTGGTAAATTTTGATTGATTGACTCGCATACATTTCAATCATTTTAAATTAGACTGTGATATCTTTTTTTTTTTTGCCCAAAAAATAAAAGATATCACAGTCTAATTTAAAATGATTGAAATGTATGTGAGTCAATCAATCAAAATTTACCACATGTAATAAACATTTTAACTAACAAAAAATCGAATATGAATACATATATAAATTTAATTAAAGCTATTTATTTTTGTTTTTAATTTACTATTTACAAGTTTTAAAATAATTTCTAAACCTGTGTATATATGGGTCATAATCTAGTTATATATAAAGAATTATAATCTAGGAACAGAGAAACAATTATGGGAAGCTTGTCGCAAAGAGACCGATCAGCCTCTTCCATCCTCTACTCCTATAAATCAAAATAACCTGGACCCGTAAGTTATAGTAATTTATCAATAGCATTCTGTTTTCTACATAACATAATTTTGGAGAAACAAAACATCTGAAAGTATTGTAACATCTCATGTCTGAAATCTAGACTTAAAAAGCAGCAAAAAGTCTAACCACTTCTGTAAATAAACACACGTTTTCGGGGAGATAACCCCGTCAGGTGTACAAAGCCCTATATGCAGACAAGCCCCGAAGGGACCGAAGCAAAAGCTCCAGCTCTTGCTTCAACACTACCAGTCAATTTGTAGCAAACTTGTTCAATTCTCGTAGCAGAATACTCGCTAAGCCCATTGCTCTTCACCTCCATGATGACGTTATCCAAAACTAAGTTCTTGAGTATCTCCTTGTGAATAAACAAAACCTGCAATAAAAAAGGAAATCAGTTAGAAGGATCAAAGCTTGTAAGCTTAAGGGAAAAAGGAAAATCAAATCAACAAAGAAAAGGAAATCACAAGATAATAACAAAAAGGAAATTATTCTTATCTTAGGATTAGGAAATTGTAAAAGTCATTGAGTCTATGATTATAAATAGATGTCGATGGCTTCTTTAGAAAATCAGAGATTAGAATTTGAGTTTTTAAAGCTAAAAGGATTTTTGGGTTTTCTTGTAAGAGAATTCAAATTGGGGAGATTAGATTTTCTTTGAGATATACTTGTAAGTTCTCTAAAGATTGGTTTCTTGTAAGTTACCTTTGAGTGAAATCTAATTGAGAAATTGTTTGAGGAATCTCCGTGTCATATACTATCTCTAGAAGTTCTTGCTTTTTCAATTGGTATCAGAGCGGGAACCTGCGCTTATTCTCAGGTGTGATCCTGCAGCAAGATGGAGAACTCTAGGGAAGTTGTGGTTGTGAAACAAACAGTGCTGAACAAAGCAACATATGGATGGTGGAAATCAAAGATGACAGCAATGATTAAAAGCATAGATGAAGATGCATGGACTGCTGTTGAAGAAGGCTGGTCACCACCAACAAAAACGGACAAAGATGGCAACATAATTCCAAAACCTAAGACTGAATGGACAGTATCTGATAAATTGCAAGCAAAGTGGAACTCAAAAGCCCTATGTGAAATCTTCAAATCTGTGGAAGTCAAGCAGTTCGAATTAATTCAAAGTTGCAAGTCTGCAAAAGCTGCTTGGGAAATTTTGCAAAGTGTGTTTGAAGGAACTGAGATGGTTAAAAGGAGCCGACTTGATTTACTTGCTTCTAAATTCGAAAACCTAAGGATGGAAGAGCATGAATCTGTTGAAGAATTCAGTGCAAAACTGTGTGCAATTGCGAATGAAGCTGAAGTTCTTGGGAAGAAATACAAAGACAGCAAACTTGTCAAAAAACTGCTAAGATGTCTTCCTTCTAAGTTTGCAGCACAAAAAACATCTATGAGGGTTTCTCTAAACACAGATATTCTTAAATTTGAAGATGCTGTAGGAATGATTGAAGCCTTCGAGATGGAATTAGCTGTCGAAGAACCAAACAAAGCAAAAAGCATCGCATTTAATGTCACATGAGAAAAGAAAGCAGAGAATCTTGAGGAGGCGGTAGCAATGCTAGTTAAGAAATTTACAAGAGGGTTAAGAAAGGAGCAAGGAAACAAACGATATGGATCAAACTCTAAAGCATCTGAAATTGAGAAAAGCAACCAAAAAACTGATTTTCAGTGCTTTGAATGCAAAGGGTTTGGACATCTAAAATCTGAGTGTCCAACTGCCAAAAGAAGGGAAATAAAGTGCTTTAAATGCTAAAGGTTCGGTCACACTCAGATGGAATGTGTAAATGATCAGAAAGCTCGGGGAGACCGCTCGTTCATCGGAATAGATGGAAGTGATTCTGAAGAAGATGGAAGTGAAGAAGATTTGAGTAACTTTGTTGCATTTATTGGAGAAAGTGATGATATCGAAGACAATGAAGTTTTCAAAGAAGAAAAAGAAACCGAGAGCAAAAACAAAGATTAGGGAGAAGAATATGGCTCGACTGATGATGAAGATGAATTTGAGATGAAACTTGAGTATAAGGAAATCTGTGACACTTTGATCAAAGTAACTAAGGAAAATGTTATCTTGATCAGAGAAAAGACTTGTCTCAAAGCAATGGTGGACAGATTTGAAACCGAGTTAGTTGAAGAGAGAAAGAAGTCTTTGAAAGTGCAGATGGATCTTGATGAAAAGCTTAAGAAAATCAGGATGCTCAATTCAGGGACAAAAGAACTTGAAAAGATTTTAACAGTAGGAAGAACTGAACCAACGCCTAGAGGTTTGGGATATCAAGGAGTAACTCTACATAGCAAACCTATGTTTCTAAGTGGAGGAAATCACGAAGATGAAGCAAGGTTGTTTGAAAAGAAGAATCATCATAAAATTCAAAAACAACACTCAGCTCAATTTCAACATCCAAGAAGATCAGGTTGCTATTATTGTGGCAAGTATGGGCATATCAAAGCTCATTGTTACAAACTTCAAGAAAGAATAGAAAAACTGTGGAAACAGAAAAAATTTACCTGGAATGGTTGGAGAAATCAATTTTGGGTAAAATCAAGAGATCTCTATGAAAACTCTTATCCCTGCAAACAAGAGAAAGACCTCCGATGCAATGCTGCAATAGTATCTGAAGAGTGTGCCTGCATCAGTTTGGAAGAACTATCGAAGAAGAAGATGAGAAAGAGCTAAGATGGGATCTAATTCCTGAAATTGATTCAGAGGATGAAGAAGAATTAGAAAGTGATACATTTTCTGCGTTAATGGCTTTGGAAACCCAAGATTCATCTGAATGGTACTTTGATAGTGGCTGTTCGAGACATATGACAGGACAAAAAGACTGCCTTTCTGAATTTAAGAATATTTCAAAAGGTAAAGTAACATTCGGAGATAGTGTTAAAGGAGAAATTAAAGGGAAAAGAACGACAAAAGGAGATGATTAACCAGCATTAGCAAATGTATACTTTGTTGAAGGATTAAGAGCTAACCTGATTAGTGTGGGTCAGCTTTGTGATCAAGGACTCAAAGTATTATTCACAAAATCCGAATGTTCTGCTCTAGATAGCAAAAGGAGCGCTATCTTGAAAGGATTAAGAGCTGGAAACAATTGCTACATGTGGCGATCGTTTGATAAATGTCTGAATGCCAGAGATGACTTGCAGCTATGGCATCAAAAATTAGGTCATATGAATGTAAGAAATTTAACTACTCTTGTCAAGCATGAATTAATAAGAGGAGTTCCTAAACTGAAGGATGATGGAAAGCTTGTTTGTGCTGCTTGCAATATGGGAAAACAAGTAAAAGTTCAACATAAAAAGGTTCAAGATGTGCAATTTAAGTCTGTTTTGGATCTTATTCATATGGATCTTATGGGGCCAATGCAAGTGGAAAGCATAGCTGGAAAAAGATGTCTTTGTACTTGTAGATGACTTCTCACGATTTACATGGGCCAGGTTCATTACAGAAAAATCTGAAGCAATGGAAAGTTTCAAGATATGGGCTCTTCAGTTAATGAATGAAAGAGGAAGAAGCATCAAGAAGATTCGCAGTGATCATGGAGGTGAGTTTCAGAATGACATTATGATTAAATTCTGTGAAAGTCAAGGAATCTTACATCAGTTTTCAGCTCCAAGAACTCCTCAACAGAATGGGGTGGTAGAGCGCAAAAACAGAACTCTTCAGGAAATGGCTCAGGCAATGATTCATGGAAACAATGTTGCTACAAGATTTTGGGCAGAAGCATTAAACACAGCATGCTATATCATAAACAGAGTGTATGTCAGAAAAGGAACTGCTAAAACGCCATATGAGTTGTTGAAAGGAAATACACCCACAGTGCACTACTTTCACATATTCGGATGTGTATGTTATATCATGAATGATAAAGACCAGTTGGGAAAGTTTGATTCTAGAAGTGATGAAGGTATTTTCTTGGGGTATTCTGGAAACAACACAGCATATAGAGTATTTAACAAAAGAACTCAGAAGATAGAAGAATCGATGAATGTTGTCTTTGATGATTTTTCACTTGCTGAAGAAGTGGTGCAAGATTCTGAAGAAAATTCAAATCAACAAACTCAAGAGCCTAAATCAAATTCACAGCGTGAGAGTTCAAAGGATTCAAAACCTCAGAGTTCAAAGGATGGAAAATTACCTAACGAAGTTGAGAATGAAACTGATAATAAAGAAGACATTGATGACGATGATGGTTCTACTATAAGTCAAGTGATTAAAGTTCCAAAAAATCATTCCGCTGCTCAGATAATTGGAGATCCAAGTGACGGACGTCATACTAGAGGTGCCAAACTAGATTTCAAGAAACCAGTATATGGTGATGCTAAAAAGGTGATTCATTTTGCTTGTTTTGTATCTACCACCGAGCCTAAGAATCACAAAGAAGCGCTTAGTGATGATTTCTGGATCTTAGCTATGGAAGAAGAGTTAGAAAAATTTATTAGAAACGCTGTTTGGGAACTAATTCCAAGACCACCAGATGTGAATGTTGTGGGAACAAAGTGGATCTTTAAAAACAAGACTGATGAAGAAGGAGTTGTCGTGAGAAACAAAGCACGTCTTGTAGCTCAAGGTTATTCACAAAGGAAGGTATTGATTTCGATGTAACATTTGCTCCAGTGGCTCGCTTAGAATCCATTCGTTTTCTGTTGGGAATGGCATGCAACATGGGTTTTAAGCTTTACCAAATGGATGTTAAAAGTGCATTTTTAAACGGAATTCTACAAGAAGAAGTTTATGTCGAACAACCAAAGGGTTTTGAGGACTCTCAACATCCGGAGCATGTTTACAAATTACACAAAGCATTGTATGGATTAAAGCAAGCTCCAAGGGCCTGGTATGAGAGACTCACTGGATTTCTGCTAGAAGGAAAATTTGTAAGAGGAAGTGTTGACAAAACACTGTTTATTCTTGAAGATGGAAAGGATCTAATGCTGGTACAAATCTATGTGGATGATATAATCTTTGGAAGTACATCACAGAGACTTGTGAATAAGTTTGTGAAGGATATGACAAGTGAATCCGAGATGAGTTTAGTTGGCGAGTTTAAGTATTTTCTGGGATTACAGATTATTCAAACACAAGAAGGGATCTCTTTGTCTCAAAGTACCTATGCTAAAAATCTAGTCAAAAGATTTGGACTCGATTCAAGCAAAGGTGCGAGAACACCAATGAGCACTACAACTAAGTTATCTAAAGATCTTACAGGAGAGGATGTAGATGAAAAGCTATACAGAGGGATGATTGGGAGCTTACTTTATCTCACAGCTAGCAGGCCAGATTTATGTCTAAGTGTTGGTCTATGTGCACGTTATCAAGCAAAGCCAAAACTATCTCATCTACATGCGGTGAAGAGAATCATCAAATATGTTAAAGACACTGCGAACTATGGATTGTTCTATTCACGTGAGACAAATTGCAATCTTGCTGGATATTGTGATGCAGATTGGGCAGGGTGTATGTATGACAGAAAACAGTACAAGTGGAGGCTGTTTTTTCTTAGGAAATAATCTAACTTCGTGGCATAGTAGGAAACAGAATTGTGTTTCTTTGTCTACAGCAGAATCTGAATACATAGCTATGGGGAGCTGTTGTACTCAATTACTTTGGATGAGACAAATGGCTGAAGATTATGGAATTAAGTCAAGTCCCTTTCTAGTTCGATGTGACAACAAGAGTGCGATTGATATATCTAAAAATCCAGTTCAGCATTCAATAACAAAGCACATTGATATAAGGCATCACTTCATCAGAGAGTTAGTTGAGAATAAAGAAGTGGTGATTGAGCATGTTTGAACAGATTTTCAGCTTGCAGATTTATTTACAAAACCTCTAGATTTCAATCAATTTGTACATCTGAGGCAAGCGATTGGTGTTTGTGAATTCTGATTTTAACAGAAGAAGATGAGCTGAATAGAAGAGAATCTGACTCGGGAGAACTTGTGTTTGGAATTAGTCAACATAAAGAGGTCGTGCTTTTGGGAAGAAGTTATTTATTCTTGAAAAAAAAAGTTTTTCAATGATCGTGTATTAGTTTTAAATGAAGACTTGGGTAAGAGATATTGGGAGAAGCTATTTTGAAGTTAAAGCCAAGGGAGATTATCTAGGATTCGTATATGCAGAAATCAAGTTGATGTTCTAAGAGAAGCAGTACCTGGAACAGAAGTTTCTGGCATACGTATGCTAAAGCTCCATGTAGCTCAATTTACGAATGAGAAAGTTCCATGAAGTCTCGCAGGAAGAACACCAAGAAACACGTCAGTTGGTTTTAACAAAATATTCTTGAATGCAGGTAGTCAGATTAATAAATGGATTTGAGGAATTATCCAGATAGAGCTGAATTCGTGACAAGGAGACATAAGAGAATGGTTGATCTAAGTGTCAATGGATGCAAACAAAGGACAAAAGCAGAAAACCCAGAGGAGGCAAGCTGTTGAATCCGCTAGTTAGTGCTATTTATGCAATACGAGAATCAGAGGCAAGAAACAAGACGAGGAAATTGATGTGAGAGAAAATTGGGGCATCAATGGTGGAAACTAGAGGTTTAGATATTGAAAATTTTACCTTACAATGATGCAGATATTGTCATCAGGACAGTGAAAGCCCACAACTGGATCATTTGAAAAGCTGCAACAATGGCAAAGAAAAGTTTATGAAATCAAGTTGGGATTTCACATGTCTCAGAAATTGGATCGAGTCACAAGGAATTTACCTGAGGTTGAGCACGAAGGGTCAGAAGAACCAAGGTGGATCATCGTTGAAGCTGCAACGGTGGCTGGTCGTCTCTGTTGTCAAATTGAGAAAGGGGTTTCACGATTTAGGGTTCCACGACTTCAGTAATGTGGGCTGAGAGCAGTGACAAGGACAAGTGAGGCTTTTTCATGGTAACTTCTCCGGAAACTGCAAAAATTATGGTGAATTGGTTTGGATCCAATTGGAGAAATTTTCATTAAAAAAAAAAATTGAAGGAAAGAAGATTTTGTCAAGAGCCCAAGGTGAAGTTACCGGAGAGTTTGACGATGGCCAGAATTAATAGAGAATGGTGTTTTTATTTTTAATTTCGCCTGAAGAGAGAAGGTCTCAAAAATGTCGTGAACCAGAGAAGCAACTAGAAGAAGAAGTCGTGATTGAGGAGAGAGACAATTTAATTGGTCCAGTTGAAAATTATAACTTATGGGCCTTAGTCATGTTATTTCTGGCCCAAATCCGAAATTAAGTTGGTTTAAGCAAATGCTTAATTCAGTCCAATAATTTGCCAACGTCAAAGTCTTCAGCTGCCAACATCATGCATGTAAAGCGGTCTTGAGGTTTGTTTTTTTTTTTTTTAACTCATTTATGCATCCAATCAGGAGGAGAAGGGGTGTTCAGTCAAAGAGTTTCAGTATTAAGGGGGAGATTTTCAGCATTAAGAGGTTGTTTTTCCGCTTGGAAGACTCAAAATGAGTTAAAAAGGGGGAGATTGAAGATACAATATTTCTGTGGAAATGCATAAACAAAACCTGTAAGAAAAAAGGAAATCAGTTAGAAGGATCAAAGCTTGTAAGCTTAAGGGAAAAAGGAAAATCAAATCAACAAAGAAAAGGAAATCACAAGATAATAACAAAAAGGAAATTGTTCTTATCTTAGGATTAGGAAATTGTAAAAGTCATTGAGTCTATGATTATAAATAGATATCGATGGCTTCTTTAGAAAATCAGAGATTAGAATTTGAGTTTTTTAAAGCTAAAAAGATTTTTAGGTTTTCTTGTAAGAGAATTCAAATTGGGGAGATTAGATTTTCTTTGAGAAATACTTGTAAGTTCTCTAAAGATTGGTTTCTTGTAAGTTACCTTTGAGTGAAATCTAATTGAGAAATTGTTTGAGGAATCTCTGTGTTATATACTATCTCTAGAAGTTCTTGCTTTTTCACCTTGGTCTGGTCTCTGGTCAATTTGTACGTGTCGCTGGCCCTTTCGAAATACAAGCATATAACATCAAGGGTAACAACCTTGTGCTTATGCGTCTCCAGTATCTCGACACAGATTTCTTTAAGATTTTTGATTTTGGTCACGTCAAGAGTTCCATTGATGTACCAATCCCCGCCTGTAAGCTCCTTACAAGGCTCGGACTCCACTACCATAACATGTTTGATCCTTTTGCTTGGAACCTCTTTGATGAGATTTTTCTTCTTGAGAGAATTGATTGCTAGAGTTACCCTTTGCGTTTGTTGGATATTTGTCCCAGCTTTCATCTCGTTTCTAGTTGCCCCCATCCCTTGCTTGCTCCGAATATGATCCAGCAGCTTCTTCTCGTTGTCGTTTACACCACCTACCGATGATTTTGGCCCTCGTCGTTTTCTTTAATCATCTGATCTGATTATTATCCAAATTCAAAATAATTAAGTTGATTACCAGAAGAAGCTCTGAGATACAAACGTTTGGCGAAGATCAGATTCAATTTACCTCGAGATTAGTTTTCTCGGAGACGAGAGGTTCTCTAAAGATGAAAACTAAATCAGATGCTGAATGCGATGATTTAGGAGAGAGAAGCACAGAGAACGGATATATGATTTTTATTGTTCATATTATACGGTTTATTGGTGGTTTATTGTTCATATTATACGGTTTATTGGTGGTTTACTGTTCATATAATATCTAGATTTTGGACATGCGCGTCCGTAAGGTATATGATTTTTAAAAAGTAGATTTTGTAATCTGCAAAATACGATATGAAAAATGAGATTTAAAATGTATTTCTTTGATGATTATATGAGTTTTAGATTTATTATATTGTTTTGAGAATCAAAAATAATTTTATAAACGCACGAGATTATATTAAAGATATAATATATTACTGATTTTATATATAACTTGTGTTCTTATGTTGTAGTAGTTTTTTTACAGGTTTGAATATGTAGTTGTAATTTTTTTTAACCACACTATTGTTTTTATTTAGAAATATTTATCTCATATTATAAAAGCGTATTTAGTTTTTCATAAGAATATAATTTATCTGCTAATTTATGATTTTTTCTCAATAAATCTTTTATTTAATAAATGCATTCTTTTCATCCTTCGTTTTTTCTTTACTTCTTTTTTTCATATCATTTCTTCTTCTCATTTTTATCGTCCATTGTTGTTGTTCTTCTTCTCTTTCTTCAACTTCTTTTCTTTTTTCTTCTTAATCACTTATTCTTCTCCTTCATCCATGTGTTAGGCGTTATTCACACAATAGAGTTTAGTTCAAAAATATAAAAGAGGAACTTGAAGATTCTAAGATAAACACGAGAATACAGATTCAAATATGGTGTTTTGTTATTGCTATTTTGTTAAGCTTTTGATCAAGTGTTTTTCTAGGTTTCAGCTGCCTTTTTTACAATAGATCATGTCTCCTATACATATCTCTCTACAACCTAAGCGGGAATCTTGGTGAATATAGTCATAGATTTCTTTCTATTTCTCTTTACAGAGCCACTTCCGCAAGGCTAAGTCCTTCTAGGGAAAATTCCGCTTTTAGATATCTTTTTGGGCTTATGACTCAGCTTGTATGTTTATTGCTTCATATTGGGCCTCGTTCATCATCGCCTAGGCCCATCAGAGAAATGGTTCGGTTACCACTTGGTTAATTTTGTTGGTTCGGTTCATCGGCCGATTTACCCTGTCACCCCAGTTCGGCACATCTCTCTGGTTTGATAACTAAATGGTTTGGTATATCTTTGCTTACCTCGACTCATCGGTTTGGTCTATCCTGTTGGTTCGGTCCACCTATCTGGTTCGGTGGACATGAATGGTTTGATCTATCTTTATCGACCCGACTCGTTGTTTCTGCTTGGCGGTTCGCTAGTTCGGCTCAGTGGTTTGCCAGTTCGGCTTGTTAGTCTTGCTTATCACCTCTTTGGTTTGGCTAGGCTCATTTCCAAACTTAGCATTTTCTTTGTTGATCTCGTCATAGTGGAAACCGACCCCAACAATTCTTTCTTCTCCTTCTTCTTCTTAATCCCTTCTTCTCCATCTTTTCTTCTTCTCTCCCTTCATTTATTTCTGTTATTCTCCTTCTCCTTTTTTATCCTTCGTTTTACTTTTTCTCCTTTTTTTTCCTCCGTTTTTCTCCTTTTTCCGTTTTTGGATTACCATGAGGTTCTGGGCTGAAGCCTGTAATCTCTGCTGGCCCGAAACCACATCATATAATATTAGTTTTATGCCAAGCGTCACTCGATCATGTGATCTCTAAGCTTTGGCTAGATCATTTACCAGTCGAGTTAACGACTCTTGGTTACTCCTTCGTCTTCTCCTCCATCCCTTCTTCTTCTTCTTCTTTTTCATGCCTTCTTCTCCTTCTTCTCCTTCTCCTTCGTTGTTCTTCCTCTCCCTTTTTCTTCTTCTTCTATGTATCCATATTCTCCTTCATCCCTTCTTCTTCTTCTTCTTCTTCTCTTCCTCCTTCATGTATTCTTCTACTTCATCCATTCTCTTTCTTATCCGTTCGCCTTTTCCGTTTTTTCATCTTCTCTATTGGTCTTCTTTTTCTTCTTTTTCATCCCTTCTTTTCCTTCTTGTTCTTTATCACTTCTTCTCCTTCTTCTCCTATTCTTCTCATTTTTTTTTCTTCTTTTTCTTCTCTGTTGTTATTCTTTTTCATCCACTCTTCTTCTTATCCATCCATTCTCCTTATTCTCCTCTTCCTTCTTCTCCTTCTTATTTGTTCTTCTTCTCCTTCTTTCTCAAACAAAAATAGATAAATTAAAAGCTAAAAAAAAAAAATAACAACTATATACATAGTAAACAAACTGAAACAAAATATTTAACATATAAAAAATTAATTTCGACTAAAAAATATAGATGTTTGCAAAGACATTTTTTTGGAAAATCTAAATAGAGAAAAAAATTATCCAAAACAAATTAGAGAAAATGAAATAACTTGAGTTACTGTTTTTATTTCCCTTATAATTTATTGAAATAATATCATAATATATAGATTTGTTTTGTTAATTGTAAATTATGAAAATCTTTTATTAATTTACTGACTTTTTCCTATTATTAATATGCTATTATATCTAAAAAAAATAACAATATTGTTTGTATTTTTTTTACATATTACTTTCATTCTCTGAAAGTAAGCAAATTCTATTTGTCTTACAGCAGCATTTCCCATTTTACTTACTGAATAAACGTATCTAGGAGTTTCTGTAATTTCTCCAAGGTTTTGCTGTATCTCAAATATTCTGTAACCTCTCTCTCTCTTTCTCTCTCTCTCTCTCTCTCTCTCTATATATATATATATATGAATTTAGCTTCGTACATAGAACTGTGACTACGATTTATCAAAATTAAGCTTTATCAAAACCAGTTGATCAATTTCATGTTTATTAGTCTTTTTTAATTTGGGTAACTCCAATTGAGGAATTTACTCACCAGTTGAGGAGAGTGTCTTTTTGAACTGTAATCTTAACTCGAGGGGATAATAATCGCTGAGAATCCAATACACAAAGTCCTGCAATTGAGGTTACAAAAGTTTCTCAACTTTGATACTTATTTGTCTCGTCTTTAGGAGAAGATATGATATGAGGTCTTCTGGACTAGTTTACACAAGATGAATGCAAAAACATGGTCAAAAGTCATTATGAAGTAAAAGAATTGGTATGAGCAATCACCATGTGGGCCTTGTTGGTTATGCATTTGCTATGTACTATATTTAGAAGCCGCTTCGACAAAATATTTAACATATAAAAAATTAATTTCGACTAAAAATATAGATGTTTGCAAAGACATTTTTTTGGAAAATCTAAATAGAGAAAAAAATTATCCAAAAAAAATTAGAGAAAATGAGATAACTTGAGTTACTGTTTTTATTTCCCTTATAATTTATTAAAATAATATCATAATATATAGATTTGTTTTGTTAATTGTAAATTATGAAAATCTTTTATTAATTTACTGACTTTTTCCTATTATTAATATGCTATTACATCTAAAAAAATAACAATATTGTTTGTATTTTTTTTACATATTACTTTCATTCTCTGAAATTAAGCAAATTCTATTTGTCTTACAGCAGCATTTCCCATTTTACTTACTGAATAAACGTATCTAGGAGTTTCTGTAATTTCTCCAAGGTTTTGCTGTATCTCAAATATTCTGTAACCTCTCTCTCTCTTTCTCTCTCTCTCTCTCTCTCTCTATATATATATATATATATATATGAATTTAGCTTCGTACATAGAAGTGTGACTACGATTTATCAAAATTAAGCTTTATCAAAACCAGTTGATCAATTTCATGTTTATTAGTCTTTTTTAATTTGGGTAACTCCAATTGAGGAATTTACTCACCAGTTGAGGAGAGTGTTTTTTTGAACTGTAATCTTAACTCGAGGGGATAATAATCGCTGAGAATCCAATACACAAAGTCCTGCAATTGAGGTTACAAAAGTTTCTCAACTTTGATACTTATTTGTCTCGTCTTTAGGAGAAGATATGATATGAGGTCCTTTGGACTAGTTTACACAAGATGAATGCAAAAACATGGTCAAAAGTCATTATGAAGTAAAAGAATTGGTATGAGCAATCACCATGTGGGCGTTGTTGGTTATGCATTTGCTATGTACTATATTTAGAAGCCGCTTCGACACAATTTCATCGGTTCTCTCTCTCTCTCTCTCTCTCTCTCTCTCTCTCTCTCTCTATGAATTTAGCTTCGTACACAGAACTGTGAGTAGAATTTACCAAAATTAAGCCTTTATGAAAATCAGTTGCTCAATTTCATGTTAATTATTGTATTTTAATTTTGGGTAATTCCAATTGAGGAATTTATTCGCCAGTTGAAGAGAGACTGCCTCTTGGAACTGTAATCTTGACTCAATGGGGTTCTGTTACAAAAGTTCCTCAACTATGATTCTTATTTGTCCCATCTTTAGGGGAAGATAGGATATCCTATCGACTAGTATATCCAAGATGAATGCAAAGATATGGTTATGAAGTACAATAATTTGTATGGGCAATCACCATATGGACCTTGTTTGATATACCTTTCCTAGGTACTACATTTGGAAGTCGGATTGATATAACATCATCGGTTGGCCTGTTGTGTTTATGGTGGGATACAATTTGGGCTCCAAGGAATTCATAAGTTTTGCATAAAAAAAAAATAGAATCTATTGTTTATAATACACAAAACATGGTGACAATGAGGCTACAAACAAAATGAGGCTACAAATTTTGTTGACGATAATAATGATTTATCTCATGTGAATTTATTATCTTTTAGAAAACCAACATGTTTGAATGCAGTAATATATTTCTTATAAACACTCTGGTTCTTAATTTATTGTACGTATACACCAAAACTTGGTGTTGGTGACTTGATAGAAATCTATAATGACATTGATGGCTTTTTTTCAAGCAAATGATGAAGGTCATGTCGAGAAGCCAAATAAAGATGATGACTAAATGCTGAATGATTTGTTAAAATCCAGACACCGGGGAGTGGATTGACCAGA